ACATGGATGCCAAAAGAAATTTTGGGTGAAAAACTTCAACTTCTGAATTCTGTTTCAATACAGAACACAACCAGTGAAAAAATCCCAATAATGAAATAAATCCTTAACGTTCTTGATTGAAAGGTATGCATTAGCGTTATATGGAATAATAAGTAGAAAATTTAGAGACTACTGCAGTTTAGCGGATACCCTACACGCTGAACCAAACCCTAACCTATAACCCCAACATAAAACGAGCCCGCGCTCCGCATATAAGGCCTTCGGGTGTCTGCTAAACTACAGTCTAGCTTAAATTCATACTAGAGACACTTTTGCTTTTCTTACACGACAAATTTAATGAAAAAAAAGCACAAGACGGCATTCGTTATCAGACTTGATACAGTGAATGTATTGAGTTCAATCTTATTACAACTATCTTTATTCATTAAATCGACATAAAGGCATGACAAAATGTCCTAGGGCAAGTAAACTGCTAGTTGAATCTTGGCTTAATATGCTGTCATTGAATTTTGAGTAAGCACTGCTTGGCAGGATACTTGCAAATGTTATGCATTAATTCTGGCAGTTCTATTGATTACAAGATAAAACAACAAATTGAGCTTGCAGTTGCTGAGATATACGAACAGAACTCAAAATATTATGATATAATGCTATTTTTGATTATAAATCTATATATAATTTTAGCCAAGATGTTACTAATGCATTTTTAACTATTTTGAGCAACTTTGTATTATATTTGGAAACTAAGACTTTTGTAATTGAAATGTATTGGTTTCTCTGACATATATCATTGCTTCATGCGGCATGAAGCAAATAGCAATGTCAATAAAGATATTTAAGTTTCATAAATATGGTGCATTGCATGTGATGTTTTGGCATTGTTTAATATGTTAAGAATCAAATTTGGACAAAATAATTGGTTTAAAGAAACTAAAAATCAACAAAAACACTTTCATAGGGCCACTGGTTTGCACAAGTTAACTTAAACATTCACCGATCCTTCCTTTGAAATTTGTTTCATTGAGTTGAAAAGTTGAAATAATTTTATTTGTGGGAAGTTAAATATATATATATTTTTGATGTATTTTTGATAGAGGAGCATTTGCAGAGAAATTGGGAAGGCGGTGAGACCATTGAGGGAGAGGCAATTGCTGTTCAAAAAGGAAATACTTGCAATATATCAATTGTTGAAAATGGATGGAAAATATTCATCCCCAATTTTTAACTCTTCAACAAAATAAAATCAATGAATTCCATAAATCATGCTAAATTGTTCTAAAATAACTCTAGACTTGATGCAGGTTTAAGGGACTCTGCAATTTATAATTTCAAATTTATTTGTATTAATCATTTTATTTATTTCCACATCATCTTCACTGGACAAACAGATTTCTGCATCTTGTGCAGTCTATTTCATTGCAACCAATGCATCCTAAGGGAATCTTGTTTAACTTGGAGTAAAACAACTGTGTGTTTATTTTTTGTCAGGTAAGACAATGCAAAACTTAGCTAATCATACTCACAGTGTGTTTTGTTTGATGGAAGATACCTTTATTTCGAAAATAATTTGCTCTTAAAAAATACTTAACATTGTGATTGACAGGCAAAATTATTTGCCTTAGTAGAGTCATGAAATGTTTTCTTTTCTTCACTACTTCTCCATTCCTTTACCACAAGTTGTCAGAATGTTATTTCTTTTATAATCTTGACTATTGAATTCTTAGGTGAAATCTGAAGGATAGAAAAAGTTTCTAAAAAATGAACCTGTCTAACTCCGCAGAAATTTTTACTAAAAATTTGCCATATAAGGCTATGGCGGCATCCATGTTTTTGGCAACATGCTGCGCTTGATAAAATATAATAATTTTGATGAGGTTTTCAGGTAATTACTATACAGGTCAGTGAGCCTCAGCGAAATGAATACAACTAGAAAGCTACGTTCAGATTGTTTTGATAAAGCCATGATGAAGCCGACATTTGCCGCAATTTACCTTCAGAAATATCTGGAGGTAAAATCTGGCAAATTTGGCTTCATTCGTGATTTACTCGCGAATAGACATTTCTTTCAGCATTTCTAAATGATGAATCATTATCAAATCAAGAATATTTAGCATTTATAATTGATCTTAAACAAAGGATTTACTTTTCAAAAATGAAGTTTTTTTTAAAAGTAAATTCATGTGTTATATAAATGAATTTGTTTCGCCGTGTGTTTTTATTGCGTGGAAAGCCTGGGGATAAGCGGCTTCAATACTGCTGGGAAAGGTAGCGTTCCAGTTATACTCATTTTGATGGTGAGCCTGGATGGTTTATTTACAGTGTAATGATACACATGAAAAAAATGTCTTAATTCTGATTGGTTAAGAGCAGTATAAATTTTCCCTAGTATCAGTGCAAAAATACAAAATACCAGTGCAATGCAAAATGCCGTTGCACAGTGCGAGGTGGTTTCTCCAACAGATTAGCTTGTGTGTAATCTAAAGACAATAGGGTATCCTGTTGTTCAAAAGTGCTCCTGTTAGATTAGTCATCATCCTGTCGTTGCTTGCAAAACGTATGTAGTCGTTAGTAAGTTGTTCGCTTCGTCGTCCAAATAATCATAATAAAGTAAATGGTTTGAACCCCGGAGTATCGTAGCATGTTTGTGGATGAAGATCGTCATAAGCAAATGAGTCAACTTCCAACTTCAATTTTTCTACTATATTTTGTACATGGATGCTTCAGTGGTTGATGAGAAAATAATCACTTGTTTGAAAAACACTCATCAAATTCCTGGATATATGGTGGCCGATATGCGTGGTTCAACCTCGCATATCATTACCATTCACTTACCATTCACCAAGTGGAATTACGCCATCACTTCGTTGTTCTAATGTCGCAGGGAGAATTCCATCGGGATCATCTGGAGTATGCACTTCATCACCATCTCCTGCTCGCGGTTCATCGTCATATGCGAAGTCGTTTAAATGCTCAACATAACCCACGGATTCCGAGCTCGAATCAGATACGCATTCAGACATCGAATTCGAATTATCTGAGCACTGATTTGAGGCCATACTTTCCGGACAACTTGTTTTATTAATATTTTATTGAAAATACTGTCATTATTTGTTTTTAAGACAAGAAAAACGACAACAAAATCATCTTCTATAATATAATATTATATTGACGGAAACAGACGTGTTCAACTATCTACGTCACAAGTATCAATATGGCGTCGTAAAAAATTCGCAAATAGTACCCGACTTTGAAGGCAAAATTAAGCAACTTATATTTATCTGTTTAAGTCCAGCGACATGTCATAGCTCTTCAAATAATCCAAATTTTCAATTAAGCTCATAAAAAAGGGGGGCTAAAATTCGTGATATAACAACTTTAACGTTTTCCTTAAAGTGCACATACAACTATTTTTAGCTTTTTATTCCCAAATAGATTTTGGATAAATAATGCAAATACCGTTTACAGAATTTGAATAACTCTTTCTGTTTCTGAGTTATCTTTCGGCAAAGATGCGAATAAAACCTGAATTTCAACGCTTTGTAAAAAATGTCGAGAGTTCTAATCTGTGGCATGGTACTTACTTTTGACGTCATTTAAGGAACACAGACTGACTACCATTACAACTTACATTGTTCATACATGTAAACAAACACAAAAATGCCAGTCGATATGTAGTTTTTGGTTGTTCTAACGTAGCCAGTTCGGAGAAAGGCATTTCACTTCATCGCATACCATTTTTTAACGACGAAAGAAGCGAAGCTAAGCGTAGGAGAAAGCGATGGGTCAACTTTGTGAAAGCTACTCGCGATAAGTGGGTCCCCACAAAGAATTCAACAGTTGGCTAGGAACACTTCACAAAAGATTCGTTTTCTCGGCAATTCGGCTCGCTTTCTGAATCAGAAAGTAATTTTGCACCTCGACTCGTTCGAGACGAAGTCGGAATCGTTGCTTACCTGAGCATTTATCCTCGAAAAGATGACAATCAACTTACAACAAGAGATTGCAGAATGGTGAGTACGTTAAAAATTATACATATGCATATCTACATTTTACCTGCAATCTATGTGAGAGTATATTTTATAAATATATGCCATTTTAGATGAAAAGAAAGTGGATGTTTGATTATAAAGGAGGTGTTGAATCAGAAAATATTCCCAGTACAAGTAGCGAACCTCAAGAGCAAATAGAAGAAAAAACTTGTGATGAGCCTGTATTATTAGAATGATCAGCTACTCCTTTCCTGAAATGTTCTGAAGGTATTCTATGAAACATGTCTGATGAAACACCTATGTGTCATTACAGTTTTTATTCCCTTGTGCCAATTTAAACTCTTTCGAGAAATTGAATGCAATTTTATATTTCATGAAGGCATATCCTTGCTGTAACTCATTTCAACAGCAATTTGGACGGGGATAATCAAGAGGTTAATGGAGTTCCCCAGGTTAAAGTGCATTATCCAAAATTTAAAATTGGTGAAGCTGTTGTAAGAAATGTAAAATTTGCTCAGGAATTTGTTAAGGTTATTTAATATATTTCTCCTACTGCCTGATATCATGTGTTAAATGCCATAATAATCAAAGCCTTAACAAGAAATGATTACCAGAAAATAAAATTTTGAATAATTTGCACATTGCTCCTCCAGGGTATTTTGAAAATATATTTCAAGTGTTGTGCTCTGCACTCTTGATGAGGAAACATTGAGAAAAGCCAAAGGTGATCTTTTTAAAATGACTCCATTGCCAATGAATTCCATGTTGGAAAGCAATCAAAAAGTGAAGCTATCTCAAAAAAAGCAAGAAGACAAAGCATGCCAGCTATACATTTTCCCCCAACTAAGCCAGGTTTTACAAAAAGGAATTACTTGCTTTGAGTTAATTTGAATCTTATTTTTGGAACTGACTCAATTTATTGTTTGATATAGCTGAAGTATCACCTGTCCAAGAAAAAATCATTGATCAATGAAATGAGAGAGCAGCACCTCGATGCACTGTGTGCAAGAATTGGATGAAAGGCCATAAAAATATAATTAACTGTCAAAAAAACCAAAAGTAATCACTTTTTTAGGAGCTGGTGGTATGAGCTCAGTTAGTTGGGATTCAGTGAAGTGTGAAATGACTGCATAGAAAGAATAAAATAAAAGGAATTGTAATTTTGTATGTTTTGTATAACAAGAATAAGTGTGAATCGAAGACGCAATACATCAAGAGTGCCTAAAATCATTCCACACTTCACTGAATCCCTACTAGCTTGTCTCATGCACACAACACCTAAAATAATATATGTTATGTTATTTCACAAATTGTCCTCTTCATACCCTGCAAAATGTTCATTTTTCTTTAAATTAAAAGTTGTTCGAATAACATGGTAAGCACAAGCTGGAAGTGGAATTCTTTTGTCTTGAAGAATGCCATGTACCATTCTTGTAAATTGCCTATATGCAACAACTCGAAAAAACCTGAAAAGGCAAATTACACAAGTCCATTAAAAGAGGTAGGAGTACATAAAAAACAAATTTTGCAAGTGTGCATTCATAGATAACCCAGACAGAATCATTTAACTATGAATTGTAACAAACCTTTGCTCCAAGAATCCTTTACGATATCTAACTCCATCTCGTCTTTGGTAAAGATTGGCAGCTAAATTCAATGCCCATCGATTGAAGCAAATGGCTTCAAATCCTGGATACTCTGTGATGCATTTTGGCTGCCTTCCGAATTCGGATACCACCATATGATCTTGCATTTCAATCATGCAATTGATAATTTCGTGGCAACATCTACAATCTTTTGGTTTAACCAAGAGAAGAACACGGCAGTTACCACAATTGCACCCAAGAAAGTTATCTGTCAAAAGCTTCGGCAACAATAAATAAACAAATTTTTTAACTTTTCTCACCAAGAATCAAGAGGAACTTCATTTTGCATTCTGCGTTCGAGCTCTTCTGTTTGGCGACTTCCTTCCTCTGTCTCTCTATTATAGTTTTCTAACCACTCATCATCAGCAAGTGGCTCGTTCTCATACGCTGCAGCTTGGCCGTACTCAAAATCGCCATCGGTGTTTGGGAGCGCATTTGATGACGAATATCTCAGAAGCAAGCTAATTCAAACCGCAAAAAAAAATTTGTTGTTTTTACGAAATTTTCTTCGAAATCATATTTTCCACAGTCTAAACTTTAAAATTTCGACGAATTTGGAAAGCTGTATGTGCAATTTAAGACAAAGTCAACATTATGTACTTTTGGTTTTCGAACCTTCGCTATTTAGCTTTGAGTCAACACTGCTTTCAATGAATCTGGGTTTTTATGTACTTTGCTGATAAAACACGACAAACATTAGATAAAGTATTCTATTGTCTCACTCCGTTTAGGCAATCGCCAAAGTCTAGCCATCAACAGAGTTCAAAAGGAGTTAATTTATGCAACGATGTGTAAATATAGCGTAGCAAGTTATTTAGTATTTTAGCTTTAAATTCCGAGGGGTATCTTAAATGATAAGCCATCGACAATACCAGAGACAGTAGTTACATTGTTAACGAATCGTTGTCAGCCACAGTGCAATGCGCGCTTAAATGATTTTCGCAGCCATTTTCTTGGTTGAATAAATACACAAACGTTGTATCAGTTCGTAATCCGGGATATTTATGCGTCTTTTGTGTATACATATAAAAATTTTGTGTCGCTTTTGGATCAAAAAAGTATTTTCAGAAGCTTGCCAGTAGTTTTTTTCATTTACGTATCTCTTTGGGTGGGCAAATAATTATTCAAAACTGTGACAAGCTTAACGATTGAAGAAAAGAAGACCAAAACTTGGTATTCATATAGAAACTTAGCATTTGGAATCAGACGCTTTTAACTATTGTGGAAGTTGTACGAAGAGTCTAAGAGAAAGTTCATCGTGTCACAGAACAAATTATCATAATTAACACGAACATAAACGAATAAGATCAGCGGCGCGCGTTGTGTTGTGGTAGACAAAGATTCTTTAAATAGAACACAATATTACTAAAAGAAAAAGGGAAGATACTTAACCTAATCGAAAATGGAAAACTTTAATACTTCAATGGAAAACAATTGGCAACAGAATAACTCAAAAACAAAAAATATTTTGCGAAAAAACAAAAGCAGTGTTGTTATTTTTAAACCAGAAAAATATGATATTATATGTCTTTCAGATGAGGGTGACAACTAACCAGAGCATTTATGTTTTTTATAACATCTCTAGCATTAGTTCCGGCAAAATTCTAGTGACGTTTTCAGTCAGCAACGCCAATTTCACATATTCTTGTACTAATTGGTCGGAAATTAGCCAGACACAATATGAACTGTCATAAAATGCTAACAGTTTGACGCTAACAGTTTTATATCCATTATGTCGACACGACATTCATAGCTATATTTTGAAATAGAAACTACATCGTCAGTGGGAAAAGCTTCAAATAACATTTGCCATTAATAGATTATACAAAACAAAACCACGTAAAAGGACAAATTATGGTAATATTAACTGATAATTTTGGAAAAAAAACAGAAAGAAATTATGTAAGTTTACCAAAATAAACGAGCACACAATGATTTTCAATGTAAATATTAGAACCCAACAGATCGTAGCTTTTGCAAACGATCTGTTGTCTCTAATCCTTATAGTGCGAATTCGTTTCCTGCCTGGCACCTAACTGAGTTCACAATGATACAGCAGCGAAAAGCAAACATTTACAGAGACCCAGCTGTTACCTTGTGGTATGTTGAAGCGAAAGATAATATAAGTGAGTTAACGAACTGTTATCGTCAAGCATTGTTGTCAAGATGCACATATATATATACTCGTTAATTACGTTTCCTCATTTTTCATTTTTCTCGTGGAATAGAAACAGCAATTTAGGACCACCTCAATGTATTTTCTTACTATATTGCCAATACATGAAGCGATATAAGTCTATATGAAAACGTTTTATCAAAATAAAAACCGTTTGACGTTCATAACAATGTTTGACAGAAAACAACAGGATGGCAACAAGATGTTGATGATTAGCATGACAATAGCTGACTGTACACTGTTAATATCTGATCGCTCATGTATATAAATAGGATGAAACGACTTTAAAAGCCATCTAAAAGCACAAGAGCGTTTCACAGTAAATATACTCTTGCAAACATAAAGTGCAATGAAATACTTCTGGAGTTTCTTTCTTCTTGCTGTGTTGGTTTTTGAATGCAGGTTTACTCATGCAAAGGCAAAATGGCTGGAAGAGTATAAAGATATCACAAATAAATGCACGAAAACTTCAACTATTAAAGTTGGAAAGGAGTATGAAAAGGAATAGACATATCTTTCAAGATTGGAAGAAGCGTTTCCATATCGAAGAAAAGCAAAAATAGCCACCGAACTGCCAAGCGCTTCATTGTTTCAAAAAATAAACTTAGAGTATGTAATTAATATCATGAATTATTGTTAAATTATGTGGCTTCATGTACAACAGAAATATACATTATATGAACAATAAAATAAAAATTTATGAGAGCGTCAGTAATGAAAAAAACTCAAGAAACACAACACCAACTCATCCGAGATTCATTATTGCCCAAAGAAATCTTGAATAAAACAAAACCTCACGAAATAGCATACTCTAAAACTACTCTGCTTTAGCTTAGTTCGATGGCTCTACATAAAGCTCTATGTTTTTTAACACAATTGACAAACAAAATTTGATTCCACCTCGGCACTTTTCTTTCTACGATCTTACTGTCTATTTCAGTTTTCACGCTTTTGTATGAAAACAAAGCGCATGATAATTCGTTAATTGTGCTTGTTCATTCGTTCATAGCTACCAAATTTGAAAGCCTGATTTTTAAAGTCAAGTTTGAAAAAAATAGCACTTATATCTTCTTCATACGCCAATTTAAATAAATTATCTTATCTCAATTTTGGCTTGTCTGTTTTCGTATGGAGGTAAACTTTTCAATGTGGGCTGCAGGCCATTGCAATACCACAAATATTCATAGCTTTACTTTCTTCGCTCATGGGTTTACTTAACAAGCTATCTCTACATCAGTTAATCTTTCTTACACAATTCTCATACAATGCCACTAGTTAACAAGAAATAAAGAAGATAAAGCAGATTTAAAGAATTTTATATGCATTTCGGTGTTTGAAACTAAACATGAGCCCAACAAAATTGACCTGCTCTCCACTGTGTGACTTCATAGCTCAGTCGGTCAGAGCACTGCACCGGCACCGCAGAGGTCATGGGTTCGAATCCCATTGAGTCACCTGAATTTTTCAGGTTCATGAGACAATTGTCCAGCAAAGTGCGAAGATCATATCTTCATTTAATTTAATTTATAAAGCAGATTCTCGAGCAAAAATGACATATGATGAAAAAATTGACAAATGCAAGCAAATTTGATGCAGAGGCGCCTAACCGAGTTAACAATGTTCCATTATCAAATGAAATTATACAACATTCATCTCAATTATGCAACAATCCTTAAGGTTTCTAAGCACCTCCACTACAAACAGCGTGGAAATTTTTTTTTAATGGAAATTAGTCAAAGGAATGGCCAATAGAAATTGTTTCGGGTAAATAGTGATCTCACAAATACGCAAAGACTAAAGGAGACAGTAATCCACGGGCAGCAAAGGTTAAATTAGTAGGATGAGATGGGCATGTTTGACAGGCATCGTCCAGGTTAGTAGAGTCTTTAGAAGGAATGTTTTTGCTGGTGTTGTCGACAACTTTAGTGGCAGTCAACTTCAGAGTAAAGGAATCGAGCTTGACTCTAAAGATGAATAACGCCAAGGTTGTCGAAACGTCAGTCAACTTGTTTCTGAGGACATTACTAACGTGGACAATCTCCATCTACAAACATGTAATGATATACTCCCAGGCTCAAACAATTCACTTTAAAGATATGCTTGTTTATGAAGCACATGCAATAGGGATATGCTTCACAACATTTGCGGGAATGAATTATAATCAACCCTAGTCTCTGTTCCTTACGTCAACCTGATTTAACTGAAAGACTTAGCTTAATCATTCATCTTCACAATTATTGTGATTGATATTTCAAGGAAAACATCACATTGGCATATCAGTCAAGATTGCAATAACGCGGAGAAAAAATACCCATGCAATCAAATAAGACAACAAAAAGAACGTGATGGGTGCTTTTTAACAGTAACTTCAGAGCAAAGGTTAGCAGATGGTGTTCTCCATATGTATTTATTCCTGGTGTCCTACTTTCATATTTATGGAGATGGATTATTTCTTAATTTTTATAACTTTAATTTGAATCAGCAGAATAGTCACAAAGGTTCTTTACCAAGGCTAATTTAGAAGCAGCATGGAATTGGACTAGACTGATCAAAAACTTTTACAACTTAAGCACGCATATTTTAAAACAATTAAAAGAAATGAAACATGAAAAATATTTGAACATCCGTTATTAGCAGACAATTTGAAAGGCAAAAAGAAAAATGCTCAATATTGAACTAAAATTAACGCAAAATTGAAATGAAACCAGTGTTTGAGAAAAGACTATTTTTACAGCATGCATGAACACGAAGCGATTTATGAGCAATGTAGTCTAATAGCGTGCTGTTTCTAAATCAGCGTCCTTTCATGTTTGCTCGAGCGCATGCATGCCGCTGAAATAGCTTTTAAAGGTAAAAGCTGCCGTTGTCATCCAACTGACTTATGGTAAAGTTCAATAAATAAATAATCCATTTCAAGGATGAAAACTTGAGGATAAAACACCTGCAGACCCTCTTGCTATAAAATGGTGATCATATTTCCTTGCCACACATCATAGTGTCGGTAAAAGAAGTATTTCAAGAGTCCGTGAAGAATCATGGTGTTGAATAAGAGCGCCAGTCTTATCCTACTGCTCTTTATTTTGAATGTTTGCATGAGTGTAGCAAAACCAAGATGGTTG